CACTCATGTGGGAGACCAGGATGGAGTTCCTAACTCCTGGTTTTGGTCTGGCCCAGCCCTGGCTGCTGCAGCCATTTGGGGAGGGGACCAGCAGATGGAAGAACTCTCTCTCAGCTTTTGAAACTAATCAATTAACCAAAATTAAAAAGCAGCAACAACAACAAACTCAGAGAACCCTGGCCTGCAAGGCATTTCTTTCACAGCTTCTTTTTTCTTCTCAATTTGCCTTTAATGTTGGTATCCCTGCAGCTGCTGACTGTCGACCTCGCTTTTACTTGTGCAGGATCCCCTTGACCGACATCAGCAGGTCTCAACCCAGGGACACGATGGAATCACCTCCTGAATAGCTTTTAAAGGGAACTGATACCTAGCTCCCACTCTTCAGAGACTGCTTAACTGGTCTAGAGAGTAGCCGCCCACATCTGAAAAATTTCTGAGGGTGGGCATCCCGGCACAACGGGCTGACCTGCTGCTGTGACATGTGCATCACACATCACAGTGTCAGCTGGATTCCAGGTAACTGCTCAAGCCAGCTTCCCGGTCATGTGCCTGGCCCAGCACTGGCTACTGCAGGCATCTGTGGAGACACAGATTTCTCTCTTTTTCTTTCAAATATGAAAATAAAATCATTAAAAAAATAATTACCAAGGAATTTCTTCATTTTGAAAATGAACAAGAAAAGGAGATCAAGATCTCCCATCCATTGACTCATTCCCCAAATATCCACCACAGCTGGAGCTGCATCTGGCTAGACTCGAGCAATTATCCTTATTTATTGGACAGGAGCTTCAGAAGAGCTCATCTCTGGCTGTCGCGGACAGAAGATCTGTCTCTGTAAATTAAATCTTTCAATAAAAATAAATAAATCTTTAAAAAAAAAAAGTGCACTTCCAGACGATACTGTGTTTACCAGGCAAGAAGATAGAAGCCTTGGACATTGTACAATTGGCCTGCTCACATACTTAAGCCAAAAAGTCTTTGTTGGGCCCAGCACGACAGCGTAGTGGTTAGTCTTCACCTTGCACGCCCAGGTTCCCATGAGTGCTGGTTCTAATCCCTGCAGCTCTACTTTTCATCCAGCTCCCTGCTTGTAGCCTGGGAAAGCAGTCAAGGACGGCCCAAAGTCTTGGGATCCTGCATCCACATAGGAGACCTGGAGGAAGTTCCTGGCTCCTGGTTTCAGATCGGCACAGTACCAGCCGTCGCAGTCACTTAGGGAGTGAATCATCGGGTGGAAGATCTTCCTCTCTGTCTCTCCTCCTCTCTGTCTATCTGACTTTGCAAAAATAAATAAATAAATAAATAAATCCTTAAAAAAAAAAAAGGAATACAGATGCAGTTTTCTTTTAAAGATTCATTTATTTTTCTTGGAAAGTCAGATTTACAGAGAAGAGACAAGAGTAAGATCTATCTGTTGCTTCACTCCCCAACTGGCCACAATGGCCAGAGCTGAGCTGATCTGAAGTCAGGGGCCAGGGGCTTTTTCCAGGTCTCCCACGCAGGTGCAGGGACCCAATGCTCTGCGTAGTCTTCCAATGCTTTCCCAGGTCACAAGCAGGGAGCTGGATGGGAAGTGGAGAAGTCGGGACACAAACTGGTGTCCATATGGGATTCAAGTGGTTGCAAGGCCAGGATTTCGCCACTGACCTATCACACTGTGACCAGAAACGCAGTTTTCCTAATTGACAAGCAAGTGTTCTTCCAAAATGCTACCACAATACTTTGCCTGTTAGTTCCTTCCAAGCAATCAATGCAAACCTTGCATTGATTTCCTATGCAATTTCAGCTGCAAAGTTCCAGTTTTCCAAACTCAAAAGGGAGCTACAGAGGAACATCACATCTTAGGGTCTTTGTCTCTGCGATTTGAATTTCATTAACATTTCCTACCACCACTCTTTCCTTTTGAACAAACGCTCCCTTTAAAACACTATGAATTCCCCAAAACCTATTCCTGTCTTGGTGTTTCAAGGAAATGCAGTAACATCCTTGTTAACTATGGTAGTTGACAGACTAGGCTATTGTGTCGGGCCCAGCAAAGGTTTTAGATGAAATGACAATAAAGGGGTAGGAACTTATTCAATAATTAAGTAAGATGTTGCATGTGGGCCAAGCATGGTAGCCTAGCAGCTAAAGTCTTTGCCTAGAATGCACCAGGATCCCGTGTGTGCACCAGTTCATATCCCAGCAGCCCCATTTCCCATCCAGCTCCCTGCTTGTGGCCTGGGAAACCAGTAGAGGACAGCCCAAAGCCTTGGGACCCTGCACCTGTGTGGGAGACCCGGAAGAAGCTCCTGGGTTCAGATTGGCTCAGCTCCAGCTGATGCGGCCGCTTGGGGAGTGAACAACTGGACGAAAGATCTTCCTCTCTGTCTCTCCTCCTTTCTGTATATCTGCCTTTACAATAAAAATAAATCTTTTAAAAAAATAAGAAATGCCACTAGAAACTCCAAAATAAGAGTTGGGGTATAAGCAGATGTAGAAAGAAATGAAGCAGAGTACCTTACTATCTGGCACTTAATCATCTTTATTCCCAGCTTGACAACGCAAGGGGACAGCTTCTGTCCAAGGACGGGACTGGCACACACACACAATCAGGGGGCCAGCCTCACCCAAGGCCACATTCCTTAAAAGTGTTTTTTTTTTTCTTTTATTTGAGAGTCAGAGAGAGAACAAATGAGTGTGTAGATACACAAATGCTCACACAAGCTCCCCTCTGCTCGTTCCCTCTTCAGAAGGCCACAATGGCTGGCTTGGGTGTGGGCAGGCCAAAGCCGGAAGCCCAGACTCTAAGCAGGTTCCTATAGGAGTGCCAGAGATCAGCTACCCAAGATATCACGTGTTGCTTCCTAGGGCCCAGATCAGCAGGAAGCTACAAGCAGGAGTGGAGCTGAGCCTTGAACTCAGACGCTCCAATAATGCATCCAGCTATATTGCTAAGCCAAATGGTCATCTCCAAATCCTTCAAAAAGGACACAGAGGGGCCAGGGTTAAGCAGCTACTTGGGATGCCTGCATCCCTAATCAGAATGTTGCTTCTAGTCTCAGTTATTTCACTTTGGACCTAGCTTTCTGTTGATGCGAGTGGCAGGACAATGAAGGGTAGCCTGATTTCTTGGGCGCCTGCCGTCTCCATGTGAACAGAATGGAGTACCTGGGTCCTAGCTTTGGCCTGGCACATGTTGGCTGCGCCATTTTGGGAAAGAACCAGTGAATGGGAAATATCTCTTCCCTTTCCCCGTGTAACTCTGTTTTTCAAATAAATGATTCTTAAAAAAAAAAAAAAAATTTCCGGGACCCGGTGCAATGGCCTAGCGGCTAAAGTCCTCGCCTTGAATGCATTGGGATCCTATAAGGGCGCCAGTTCTAATTCTGGCGGCTCCTCTTCCCATCCAGCTCCCTGCTTGTGGCCTGGGAAGGCAGTGGAGGACGGCCCAAAGCCTTGGGACCCTGCACCCGTGTGGGAGACCCAGAAGAAGTTTCTGGCTCCTGGCTTCGGATGAGCACTGGTCGTGGTGGTCACTTAGGGAATGAATCATCAGATGGGAGATTTTCTTTTCCGTATATCTGACTTTGCAATAAAATAAATAAATCTAAAAAAATCCTTTCATTTGCCCTCTTAATCCCAAGTGCCCCACTGGCATTTAAACCAAATGAAACAATGATTCTGAACTGGGAAATCACTACTGTAGACCTTTCCAATTCTCAGAAAACTACAGTGTTTCTAGGCTTCCTGACTTGTCAAATAAAGCTATAATATCAGGGGTCCCAAAGCATAGGATGAGCACTCCCATCCCCAGGTGCTGATGCGGTTGGGCTGCTGGGAGTCCAAGCCCAACTATCCCCGCTTCACCCAGATACAGGAAGAAAAAAAACCTGAAAGCAATTGTGTTATCCACCTTCCCCCATACCTTGATCCTCCCCACCCTAGTCGGTGGTCCACACAGCATGCATCCTGTTCAACATCAAAAATGATAAATGCATTAAAAAAAGTAGGAGGCCAGTTCTATGTATAAGAGGACTTCTAAAGTTCACAAAAAAGGTACCAGCGTTGTGGCACAGCGCGCTAAGCACCGTGTGCAGCACCAGCATCCCCAGTGGGCACTGGACGGTGACTTGACTGCACCGCTTCCATTCCAGCTTCCTGCTCATGACCTGGGAAGGCCAGGGAGGACGGCCCAAGCGTTAAGTCCCCTGTCGCCCATGTGGGAGATGCAAATGGAGTCCCCAGCTCCTGGCTCCAGCCAGACCCAGCTCTGCTTGTTGCAGACATTAACAGAGTGATTTAGAGATGGAAGAGTCTCTCTGCTCTTCAAAAAACTAAAAAAGTTCATGAAAAAAAGTCCATGAAAACACACAGCATCTTTCCATTGGAACTCAGCTTTTTGAAGCCCACCTTGTATAATCTCACACACCCTCTTTCCCATAAATCTTCAGTAATTCAACCAAGCAAGTATGTGCCTCCTGATGGATGAGGTATGCCAGAAGTCAAACTCCTTACAACTACTGAGAGGCCTATTTACTTGAGAAATTAAAAGTGGCTGAGGCATTAGCCCTTTGTTAAATCCCAGCCCCAATTTCCAAGACCTTCCAGCTTGGCTACATTACATGCACTTACCATTTTTTGATGCCTCAACTCTCCTTCAAACTCTGAATCCCTTTCCAACTCTGACTGCCACCTGAACTGGCTCTGGGCCCCAGCTTCATCCCCCGCAACAATCCTTTCGTCAGTTTTCTGTTTATCCTGCCCTTCCCAACAACATTATTACCTCTTTTGAGCTACTCTGGATAAAACCCAAGGCCATCTCTCAAGCCACAGCAGCTGGCTGCATCAACTTTATACACTGTAGGTTAGCTTTGGGGAGGGACTTTTTTTTTTTTTTTTTAGATGATAAACTGAAGGGGCTGAGAATTTCCAAGAGGCCTGGTGCAGGTTCCAGAGCAATCTACCGTCACACCTTACAGCGCACCAAGGCAGGCGTGACTCTGGTTCTTCCCAGTTACCTGTTCAGGGTCCTGTAGGCACCCTCCACGTTTCCTTCCTGCACCATGACAGTCCTGGCGATGAACTTCAGGTGCTTTGCCATGACCTTCAATGACGCCTTTCCTCGACGGGAGCTAAAGGATGAGGAAGAAAAGGGGAGCCAAGATCAGGTCACACATAACACGGCACCGTGGAAGCGTCCGCCGCGCGGCTACCGCGACATCTGCGCGAGCCACGGGCTCCGGGACGCGCGACACCTGCGCGTGGACGTCTACACCGCGGCTCGCGGGGCAGCACCCCGGCCCGCTGCCGAAACAAACCAAGCTTAAACAAAAAGTGAGAGAGCCACCAGGGAAACACGAGGCGCGGAGCGGCGGCTCCTCACGCACTGACCTGCCTGCCCGGCGCCCGCACCGGCCCCGGAACCCGCGCCTCCCGCGGCGTCCTCACTACCCGCCGACCCCCTGAGCCGGCGCGCGAGCGGAAGCGGAAACGACGGCGTCCCCAACGCCGCGCCGGGCAGGAACCCGCGGCACTGCGCTCGGTGGTGCCGGCCTGGGGTCTGACTCCCAGAAAGCAGCATGCCGCCGCCGACAGGTTCTTCGCCTTTCCGTGGAGTCGTAGAGCATCACGGAGGAGGTCAGCGCAATTCCATAGCGTGAAATCTTGGAAATGAGCTAAACCAGCTTTTTAAATGGAGGGAGAGCGGTAGAGAGAGAAAAGCAGGCGGAGCGTCCTGCGCGTGCTCCAGTTTTCTTCCTTGGCAAAGGACCCGGACTTTGGGTGGAAATCGCTTCGCAGCCCTCTGTGTCTGAGAACGAAGGACGAGAAAGAAGCGAGCTCTGACTTTCCTCTCCTTTGCTGTTTGTCTCACCTGCTTCCTCACTAGAGCCACAACCTTCCTTTATCTTTTATTTGTAGCTCTCTAAATACTCACGGTTTGGATGTTAGGGCTCCTAAACACACATACCCCCACATACAAATGGAATCCAGGCTAGTGGAAAGGTAAGCCCTTCCCGCCACCCCCTTAGGGTAATTACGCTGAATCAAAAACAAAACAAAACTAGACCCAGACATCATTGTGCTCATCAGCAAACTTACAGGATGCCTGCCTTGTGCCAAATGCGACTGATACCATCCCAGTGTCTCTTGGACTACAAGATAGTATGTAGCCGTAAAGACAGCTAGTAAAACAAGGAAGCAGCAAATAGATGGAAAATGGATCACACAGAGCACAGCATAATGCGGTAGAAGGATACTGCGTTAGAAGCCCAGAGACTTCAGTTCTGTCTCAATTCTGACAGTCATCAGGCACATGAACTTGAGCAAGTCACTTCAGCCAGGGATCTGTAAACTATTGCCCGAAGCATTAATCCAGCTACACTTAAAAAATTTTTTTTTCTCTCTTAAAAAAAAAGTATTATTTTTTAAAGTTTTTTTTTTTAAAAGAAGATCGGATATACAGATAAAAGGAAAGACAGAAAGATTTTCTATCCACCGATTCATTCCACAAATGTCAGCAACAAGTGGAACTGAACTGATGGGAAGCCAGGAGCCTGGAGTCTCTTCCAGGTCTACCACATGGGTGCAGGTCTCAAGGCTTTGGGCTATCCTTTATTGCTTTCCCAAGCCATAAGCAGGAAGCTGGGAGCTGGATGGGAAGTGGAGCAGCTGGGACATGAACTGGTGCCCAAACGGGATCTCGGTAGTTGCAGGTGGAAAATTAACCAATTGAGCCTCATGCTGCTCCCACCACGCACCAACCTCCATCTGGTTTCTATCAGTTTTGTAAGCTCAGAAGAACAGACGCTAGTCCTACTTTACAGATAAGGAACTACACTAAGGCTGAATTGTAGCAAGTCCCAAATATTTTAAGTTTTGTATGTCTTACAGCTCTGTTGCAGCTACGCTCCTTTTGCAACTAGAGCTGCTCATTTAATCCATAAACAATGGAGCATAACTGTGTCCCAGTAGTCTTATTTAAAAAAACAGATCTAGGAGTCAGTGCTGTGGTACAGTAGGCTCATATTCCACCTGCAGCACTGGCGTCCGGTGAGGTGCTGGTCTGGCTTCTCCATTTCAGATCAGCTTTCCGCTTATGGCCTGGGAGTGGACCCCTGCACCCATATGGGAAACCAGGAAGAAGCTCTTGGCTTCAGATGAACTCAGCTCTGGTCGTGGTGGTGGTCATTGAGGGGTAAACTAGCAGATGAAACATGTCTGTTTCTCCCTCTGTAAAATATTAAAGTAAAAATAATCAATCTTGGACCTAACTCAGTATCCTAGTGGCTAAAGTCCTTGCCTTGAATGTGTCAGGATCCCATGTGGGTGCTGGGTGGAGTCCAAGCTGCTTCGCTTCCCATCCAGCTCCCTGCTTGTGGTCTGGGAAAGCAGTTGAGGATGGCCCATGTGGGAGACCCAGAAGCAGCTCCAGGCTCCTGGCTTTGGATTGGTTCAACTTTGACCATCTGGCTACTTGAGTTAACCAGAGGACAGAAAATCTTTCTGTTTCTCCTCTCTGTATACCTGTCTAATATGAGGAAATATTACAAAAAAAAAAAATAGAAAGATTAAGCAGCTTGTAAAAAGATTCAAGGCAAGGGTCTGGTGCGGTGGCCTAGTGGCTAAAAGTCCTTGCTTTGTGCGTGCCAGGATCCCATATGGATGCCAGTTTTAATCCCGGCAGCTCCACTTCCCATCCAGCTCCCTGCTTGTGGCCTGGAAAAGCAGTGGAGGACGGCCCAAGGCCTTGGGACCCTGCACCCATGTGGGAGACCTGGAAGAAGTTCCTGCCTCCTGGATTCAGTACGGTGCAGAGCACCAGCCGTTGCAATCACTTGGGAAGTGAGTCATCAGACAGATGATGTTCTTCTCTGTCTCTCCTCCTTTCTGTATAACTGACTTTGCAAAAAATAAATAAATAAATAAAAATAAATAAATAAATAAATCTTCTTTTAAAAAGTTTCGGGCCCGGTGCGGTGGCGCAGTGGTTAAGGTCCTCACCTTGCATGCCCGGGATCCCATATGGGCGCCGGTTCTATCCTGGAAGCCCTGCTTCCCATCCAGCTCCCTGCCTGTGGCCCGGGAAAGCAGTCGAGGACGGCCCAAAGCCTTGGGAACCTGCACCCGCGTGGGAGACCCAGAAGAGGCTCCTGGCTTCGGATCGGCATAGTATCAGCCGTTGCGCTCACTTGGAGATTGAATCATCGGACGGAAGATCTTCCTCTCTGTCTCTCCTCTCTGTATATCCACCTTTCCAATAAAAAAATAATAACAAATCTTTTAAAAAAAAGTTTCAAAGCAAAAAACAGTTTCTAGGTAAAAAGGCTTACAGCATTCATGAATGAATGGACTTTGAAAAGCAGAGGAGGCAGTATTGTGCAGCCAACTGTCCCTTTGGAGCTCAAGTCCTGTCTCTGCCTCTCATCCAGCTCCCCACTGATGTGCCTGGGAGCCTGCGCGTGCTGGCTCAGTCCTCAAGTTCCTGCCACCCACAAGGCAGACATAGATGAACTCTCTGGCTTCTGGTTCCAGCCTGCTCAACCTTCTCTTTGGCTGGCATTTGGGAAATAAATCAGTAGATGGAAGCTTTTTCTTTCCCTCTTGTTCTCTTTCAGATAATTAATTAAAAAAATATTTTTAGGACCCAGCATGGTGGCCTACGGGCTGATGTCCTTGTCTTATAACTGCCGGGATCCCATATGAGTGCCTATTGGTATTCTGGTTGCTTCACTTCCCAACAAACTCCCTGCTTGTTGCTTGGGAAAGTAGTTGAGATAACCCAAAGCCTTGGGACCCTGCACCCGTGTGGGAGACCCAGTAGAGGCTCCTAGCTCCTGTCTTCAGGTTGACTCAGCTCTGGCAACTGTGGCCACTTGGGGAGTGAAGCAGCAGATAGAAGATCTGTCTTTTCTCCTCTCTAAAAATCTGCTTTTCCAAACAAAACAAAAATAAAAATTAAATTGATAGAAATAAATAAAATTAAATGTGTATTCTAAAGATTTTATTTTATTTGAAAGTCAGATATACAGAGGAGAGACAGAGAAGATCTTCCATCTGCGGATTCACTCCCCAAGTGGCCGCAATGGCTGGAGCTGCAGTAAATGTCTGGACCAGAGTTCTGGCGATGCAGTGGACAGAAGCCGACTTTGAGACATTCTGAATGAAGAAGAGATTGATTCACTGAATGGCACCAAACTTTTTATTTATTTATTTGTATTGCAAAGTCAGATATACAGAGAGGAGGAGAGACAAGGAGGAACATCATCTGTCCGATGGTTCACTCCTCAAGTGACTGTAATGGCTGAAGCTGAGCTGATTTGAAGCCAGGAGCTAGGAACTTCTTTCAGGTCTCCCATGTGGGTGCAGGGTCTCAGGGCTTTGGGCTGTCCTCCACTGCTTTCCCAGGCCACAAGCAGGGAGCTAGATGGGAATTGAGGCTGCCAGGATTAGACCTGGCATCCATATGGGATCTAGGTGCATTCAAGGGGAGGACTTTAGCCTTTAGGCTACTGTGTTGGGCCCTTAATGGCACCAAGTTTTACGCCTGTTTATGTAAAAGGCGAAAGATTTATACGATCTGAAGTGAAACCAGAGTATAAGCCTGCTTATGTAGAAAAATGATACCAAAGGCAGCACTTACAGAAAATGAGACTGTACAAAATGGGAGGGATTTTTTTATTATTATTTTACTTCTTATCATTTTATGATACAGTTCCATAAGCTGTGAGATTTCCCTTATCAGAAGGATATGTTTAAAGAAACAATACCAGGCCCAGTGCAATAGTGTAGTGGTTAAGGTCCTCACCTTGAAGGCGCGGGGATCCCATATAGTCACCGGTTCTAATCCCAGCCGATCTGCTTCCCATCCAACTCCCTGTTTGTGGCCTGGGAAGGCAATTGAGGACGTCCTAGGGCTTTGAGACCCTGCGACTGCGTGGGAGACCTGGAAGAGGTTCCTGAATCCTGGCTTTGGATTGGCTCTGCTCCAGCCATTGCAGCCACATGGGGAGTGAATCATTGGATGGAAGATGTTCCTCTCTGTCTCTCCTCCTCTCTGCATATCTGACTTTCCAAATAAAAATAAATAAATCTTTAAAAAAAAATAAAAGAAAAAATATTTTATTTTTTGAAGATTTATTTCCATCAAAAATGCAAAGCTACACAGGGAAAAGAGGCAGATAAAGGTAATACTTTTGCTGTTTCACTTCCCAAATGACTGCCAACAGCCAGAGCTGAGCCAATGTAACGTCAGGAGCCTGTAGCTTATTCTGGGTCTCCCATGTGGGTGCAGGGTTGATGCAACAGTGAGAACCAGGAAAGCATATGTAATTTTCATGTGAATAGAGAAAAGGGCCAAGGCCTGAGCCTACAGAGAACACCCATGCTTGGGAGTAGGCACACATGGGGCCACTCAGGGAACTGGATGTCACTGCCAGATAGGTAAGAAGAGACTTGGAGAGTCGGCTGTCATGGAACCCGCTGGCGGAGCATTTCAGTAGGCGATCAGGAGTGTCAGGTGGCACAGAGAACACAGCATGGCAAAAGGTCCCCGGGTTTAGCAGGAGCTCAGGTGTAAGCTGCTTCGCAATACTGATTGGGCGGAATCCAGAGTAACTTGGGAAGCTGCTGTAAGAGGATCAGCACTGAGCAGTGGAGGGGAATCAGAAAGAGTGTGAAACAACACAGATGAGACAGGTATGTGCAGGCTCAGATATGGGCTAGAGACCGAGTCACACTCCCTGGACTAATGGTAAGTACCATGAGGACCAAACTGGCACCGCAGTGGAAGAAACGGTACATGCCACTATGAGAGTTTCCAAGGTAAGAGAAAACCAAAAGCACACACGGCCAAGTCTTCACTAGAAAGGAAGTCAGCAACTCCTAAAGAGAGGGAGGCAATTACCGGAACAGGGCGTGAGAAAGGACTGATGTGCGACAAGCTACAAGAAGCATGCTAAGGAGCCTCTAAGCCATGACATGATGACAGGATTGTCTAGTACACTACAGAGGCTTAGGAGAGGCGAGAAAACGCTTTTGGAGGAAACTGGGACAAATCCAAGAGGAACGCACAGGAAGCTGTAGAAATAGATGTATGCATGGACTCCATTTTTGTCTCTTTAGTCTAGCATTTGTCTAGTGGATGAAGATTTTTGAATCAGGATGACGTGCTGCATATTAGCACTCCTGGCTCTCCCCACCGCCCTCTTCAGGATCACCTGCCCCAGTGGCTGTTCCAGCCCTTGTGCCCCTCCTCTGCCAGCAGCATTCACCCCTACCCCCTGACCCCAAGCCTCAGTGGTACGCATCCAAGCAAGGAGGGATCTCAGAGCAGCAGAACCTGCAGGGCTGGGGCAGCTGGATGCTCACCCAGGGATGAGACACCGAGGGAAAGGTCCTGTCTCCAGCCCTCAACTCCAACAATAGCTCAACTCTGAACTGTGTCCCTGTCCCAAGGGCACTTCCTGTCACCCTGCCTCACTCACAGAGCTCACACAGTCCCACCCAGACTCGCTCTTGGCAGAGCTAGTGTCTGCAAACATTCCCATCCCTCTTGTTTTCTGCAGGTCTGATGAAAGAGACTGGTATTTGAGGCAGCAGACTGAGTAAAAAAAATCTTTTTTAATCAGAAAGGCTTTTTTTCCCCTTCAGCACAAATCACACATTAAGAGTAAAAAAAAAAAAAAATGCCTATACAGCTATTTACAGACATTGGACATTCCAGAGGCTTGGCTGCACGCCCTGTGTTAGGGGTTGAGACAGGAAGCTGGAGCAACTAGAGGATGGCTTCTCATCTGCTGTTCTAAACGTCCTGTGGTCATCTCTTTGGCCTCGCTGCACAGGCCCGGGGAGGTGCGGTTACAACTCCAGTCTGATGACATAGTTACCGGCAAACTGTGACAACGAGATCCCTCTCCAGATAGTTTCTTAACCTCACTGGGGACAGCAGGAGGTGTTACAGTAGGTGGAACTGGAGTGGCTGGGGCAGAGTGGTTGTAGAGCTGCCCTCCATGCTGGAGCCAAAGAATGACACCGATGCTGGTCCCAGTGCCTAAAGGACCATGGCTAAAGGAGATGGTACCTGGGGAACTCAGAGGGGGGTTGCAAATTGGAGCGGTGTGGATCCAGGTGAGGTTCATGGCTGGCCATTCTGGGAGACGCCAAGGCTGTCTGAAAACCATGTGGCCTAGCTGGGCCTGACCCGTTGTTTCTGGCGCAGGTGCAGGAGCGGAAGCAGCTGAATCACTGGGAAGGCTCGCAAGATGCTAAGAAAAGGGCAGAAGTGAGAAAAAAGCTGAACAAAGTTTTCAGATTTCACCTCTTAAACCTTTGCTCTCCTTGAGAACTCAATTTACAATGCAAATACCTTTTTCATATAACATATATGTTCTTGCCAGGCTGGATTAAGCAACATTTTTTTAGCAATCAAACTTTCATGCTTTCTTCTACACATAGGGGAGGGTGCAGTATACACTACACACTTAAGTAGGTGTTGGATTTTCGGAGATAAACAGAATAAAGCAAACAGTCCCGTAGGGTATCAGTATTTATAAAATAATTCCTGGGCTCAGCGCAGTAGCCTACTAGCTAAAGTCTTTGCCTTGCAACTGCCAGGATCCCATATAGCTATTGGTTCATATTCTGGCTGCTCTACTTCCCATCCAGCTCCCTGCTTGTGGTCTGGGAAAGCAGTCGAGGACGGCCAAAAGCCTTGGGACCCTGCACCTGCATGGGAAACCTGGGAAGAAGTTCCTGGTTCCTGGCTTTGGATCGTTCAGCTCCGGCCATTGTGGCCATTTGGGGAGTGAGCCAGCAGATAGATCTTGGTCTCTCCTCTCTGTAAATCTTACTTTCCAATAGAAAAAGTAAATAAATCTTAAAAAATAAATTCCTTATAGAAAAGTGTGTTTTTAACTGGAAACCTCTCCCCAGGCTTTGCATTGTAAATTCTAATTTTCTACAGTAAGTTACTTGAAAACAAAACGTAACATAAATAAAAACATGGGCTGGTGTGAAGATAAGATACTGTTGCTTATATTCTAACCAGTTATTCTCTTGTCATGACTGACTACAAGGACTGGCCATTATCTCCAGGAATCTCTCCTCTGTTATCTGAATGGCCACTAAATGCCCTATTATTTGAAGAGACAGAAAATAGGTCACTTCCCACAGCAGGTCATCTCTTCAGCCCTCCCCCATCTGCCACTACATGCCTCTTGTGTCTAGTTCTTGACTTTCAGTGAAAACTCACAGGCCACGAGATGGTCTGGTATGGGGAGAATAGGGCAAGACCGAGGAGAGACAGGAAGGGAGAAGATTGGGGGCCGCAGAGCGGGGAGGAGCTGCAGAGCGAGCAGAGGCCTCCTTCTGTATGAGGCCAATGCCTGGTGAAAAGGTGGGAGGCGCAGATGGACCACAAACCCCCAAGGGGCAGTGGTACACTTCAATGAGTTCTTCTCAGCCACTGAAAATGAAACAATTGCTTGTGGGAATGCAGTGTCCTTCAGGACAATGTGGGAAGCTTAAGCACTCCTTACTCCCTTTCCTAAAAAAAAAAAAAAAAAAAAAACCTGAAAGGGAAAAAAACAGAAAAAAGACCAGAAGCAGCTGGGTGGGAGAGCCCCTTGGTGGGTGTGCACTTCCCTTCCCCGATGAGTTCCCTGCCATCCTGGTGTTTCCAGGTCTTACCTTAGCTAGCGGCTGCCTCCGTCCACCCAGGGATGTGCTCTGCACAGCTACATGAGGAAACCAAGTCTTTAACATCCCTTCCACCTGCAGCAGTGTTCCCAGGTAGCGCTCTCTGAGTAAGAGACATTTTTAGAGAGCCATTACATGAGGGGACAAAAGACAGGATGGGAAAGCTCTCCTTTTTCAAGGCCCTGAGGAAAGGACCAAGGGGACTTACCCCATGTGTGGCTTCTGTAAGACACCGACAATCCGCTGGATCCTGTCCATCGCCACACTCTGCTGGAAGCTGCTCAACCCTGAAACCGAGAGCCTGGGATTCAGACAGGTCACCCGCTCCAGGCAGAACCCAAGGAGGTGAACACTGATTCAATGAAAGAAGGCAAGTCACAAAAACAAACACAGAAGATGCTGCCATCAAAGAAGGACTTGACACATATTTAAGGGCCAGCACTGTGGCATCACAGGCCAATCCTCTGTGGTGCCAACATCTCCAATCGATGCTGGTGTCCCGGCTGCTTCACTTCCCGTCCAGCTCACCACTTCTGGCCTGGGAAAGCAGTGGAGGGTGGCTCACATGCTTGGGTCCCTGCACCTGCGGGGCAGACTCAGGGGAAGTTCCTGGCTTTAGATTAGCTCAGCTCTGGCAGTTGTGGCCATTTGGGCAGTGAACTAGCAGACAGAAGATCTCTCTTACTGTCTCTCCTTCTGTCTGTAACTGCTTTTCAATTAAATCTTTTTAAATGCATATGTAGAGGAGGGCGTGGGCAAGAACCTAGCCCGAATGGACACAATCTATTGGATGATTACCTCTCTCAAAACGACCCATCTTCAGCCCATTGAGCAGGTCTGTGAGGGGACGAATGAATCCTTGGAGCTCTTTACACTGTAAGAAGGCAACAGAGAAGCTGGTGAGGAGACCAGGGACGGCTCGCACCAGCACCACTCTTCCTCCTCTGCAACTCTGGAAGCCTGTCTTCTCTAGATCCTTCTCAACCAGCTGCCGCCACAGCCACACTGGGAGAGTGCCACATACTGCCTTTTCTTACCTTCTGAGCAAACAGCAGGTCTCCCTCCGTGGTGCAACTCTGGCCGTTCCCATCGGTCTCTAGTTCACCCTCTCTGGATCTCCTGATCCCAGATCCCCGCTGCTGCTGCTCGGAATGGGATGCCCTGTGCTGGTGGGGACTGGAAACCTTGAGGCGATGCTTGCAGCGGATGGGCCCTGGGCTGGGTCGAGCACCTCCCCCGGGCCCCACAGGATCCGGCCAAGACCCACGCACCCCCTTGTCCTCTCTCTCACTGTCGGAGGGAAAGCCACAGTCACTGTTCACCGGGGAGGTGGACCAAGAGGAAGAGAGAGAGGAGGAGGAGGAGGCGCTAGATGGAGAATTCATAGGTCTGTCCGGTAGCAAGGACTGGGGAAGCAGCTCCTTGGAGGGAGGACCCAGCGAGGGGAGCCTGCAAAGCAACGGAAATTGAAATCAAAGGGACAAGCTATGAGACTGCACTGCATGGGGACAAAACCCCTTCTCTCTGCTCCCTCCCATCCTCCACCCCCCGCCCGGGAAACCATACAAAAGAAGGCGTCCCTAAAAACCTGGGAAGATTGACAAGCCTGGCCCCTGCAGGACCGACCCTCTGCCTGCGCTTTCCTTAGTCCCCAGCTGAACCCCAACTGGACACCTTGCCCGCCCCACCCGGCCGCCCATCCGCAGCCTGCACCCACCTCAAGCGAGCGGCAGAAACCCGGGCACCCGGACCCTGCCAGCGTCCCCACGGGAACCTCCTGCCACCCCGCCCCCAGAGCCTGGCCTCCTGCCCTGCACCCCTCTCGCCGGTCCCTCCTGGGGTCAGCGGCTGCCAGGTGATGCAATCCCTCCCAGGACCGGGATCACGCACGTCCCGTCCTCCCCAGCGGCTGGCCCTTCGTCCTCCGAGTCCCCTTACCTGGATGGGTCGGCTCGGGCCCCCAGGGTCCGAGTGCAGCTCCCACTCCAGTCCCTGCCGCTCTCCGGCTAACCCCACCGCCTCCGACTCGTTCCCGGCCGGTCCCGCCCCTTCTCCCCTCCCAGACACGTGCGGCTCGGCACGTGCCTGCCCCCTGCGTACACAGATCCCGCGCCCTCATTGGCCGTCTACCCGGTAACACGTGACGCCCGTTCCCGAGCCTCCCGGCCCATTGGCTGCAGCGCTCCGGGGCCGCGGCCAACCGAGAAGCGGCCGCGCGGTGATTGGCCGGGAGGGCAGCATTCCGAGCTCCGCCCCTCCATGCGGCTCGCCGAGAGGCCCCGGTGCCGTTAGGAAAGGAGGCGGAAGGGCGGGGGCAGGGCGGGGCCCATGGCCTTAAATAGGATGGTGATGCGCGGGAGACACATGGCCCGGCCGCTCAGACACTGGTCGTTCCTCCGCAGACGCGTGCTCGGGACGCGGTCCCGCCTCCGGACCCGACTCCAGGGCCTGATGCTGGGGCGCCTCCGCTCACGAGCGCAGCACGTGGAAACCCGCCGAGCCTGGAGTCTGCAACGTGTGCGAGCGAGCGGCTCCCGGAGGCCCAGCCCTCGTGCCTGCCCGAGGAGTGTCGGCTTCGCCCGCCCTCTCTCCCTCCCTCCTCCAAGCTGGGTGCCTCCTGCCCTGCTGGGTGAGGAGGGTGGGGAATGCGGCTGGGAACACGGCGTCCCGGGCCGCTCCTGCAATCCCTCTCCTTACATAACCGGCCGTGCACGTTCCCAGCTCGGATGCCAGCCCGCCACGACTCTAGAGGTCAAAGCCGAGCGCTCTGGGTCCTCCGATTCCGAGCCCTGGGAGCCCTGCCGAGCTCCGATTCCAGTTTCCTCTGATCTCTGGAGAACGGTCGCGCGGCCGTGAGGGACGGAGGGCGGACAGGCCCAGGCTGGAACGTGCCTGTTCCTGACCCCTGGCAGTGCTGCCAGAGAAACAATGGGGAAACGGCATCCGAGGGACCGCAAGGGGGCAGGATAGAGTTTTAAAAAAAAATCCTAATTAATAGTAAGAATCGTGTACATCCCCGCGTAGTTACTACATTATGGGACATGGAGTGGGAAGGAGGGAGGTGTGATCATTTTCATTACATTGCAGTTTCACCTGTGTTTAATATTCCTAAAAGGTTCCTAAGTAAACCTTAACCCTGTTTCCCTGTACACACCATCCCGATGCCATATCTAGCAAGTAGAACGGTGGAACTAGCACTGTGGATGCACTTGCTGTCTGAGACTCCTAGGTTACAAGTTTATTTGGGGTCCGTGGCTCGCCTCTACTTTATGGCTGCACGCCACCCTTCCCACCCCTAAACCCTGACACCCTCTTGAGTGTCCTGATTTTAGAAGACTTCATGAAGACATAGACAGTAACCAGGTTATTTATTATAGATTTTATCTTTCAATTTTCTCTTGCCAAGCCTCCAAAGAGTCGTAACAGCATTCTCTCACCTAAAAAACACACACAGAAACAGGGGTTGGGGGAATCCCTCCGTGCCATACATCTGTATGAAAACTCCCCAGAGTTCACCTCCTGAGCTGGGGTTTCCCTGAGGTGTCGCCTGGGAAGGACCTAGTCCCTCTCCTGCTTAAATCTCTTCCACCACCATGTCATGTAGAAGCCCAGCTTCCATTCTCGTTTCCTGTCTTCCCTTCAGCTTTTGTCCCCCGATCCTCCTGAACCTTCGGGACCCGCCACTCCCTTCAGTCCCTGACCTTTGCCTTCGGATCTCCAGCAGGTGGCGGGACCCACCCATTTTGCCCTCTGGCCCCTTCCAGGCCAACCAGGCCAGGCTGGAAGCAGCTCTGACTCCCCAGGACACAATTCCATCTGCTTGTAATTGCAAAAACATGGAAGCAACCGAAATGCCCATCAGCAGAAGATTGGATAAGAAAGCTTTGGTTCATCTACTCCATGGAATACTACTCAGCTATTAAAAAAAACAAAATGCAGTTCTTTGTGGCTAAATGGGTACAACTGGAAACTATAATGCTAAGGGAAATGAGCGAATCCCAAAAGATTAGATACCACATGTTTGCCTTGATTTAACCTGTAATTTTTTGTTTGGTTGTTTGTTATTTTTTTTTTTTTTTTGAACCTGTCATTGATACTGTCTCAACCCAGATGTTTCGAAGAAGGGAACTTGCATTATTTTTAACATATTGTTTACCCAATACTATGTCAATTAATTCCATAATGTTGTATATTGATACTGTGGCCTCGTTGGGGCTTTTAACTGACTGGATCTTTACTCTGTTAGACCTATTTTCAGACCATAGAAGGTCTCCCCAAGAGGCCACTGAACTTATCTGGACAATAAGACGCTGAACTTTATGCTAGGCATGTGTCTGCAAGCAATGAATCTCAACCGAACTTGAACTATGGTTATGCAACAAGGTGGAGGAATCCACCATGGGGGGAGGGGTATGGGAGGGGTGGGGGGAATCCCCAGCGCCTATGAAACTGTACTACACAATACAATGTAAGCAACAATAATAAAAAAAAAAAAAAAAAAAAAAAAAAACAAAAAAAAAACAATTCCATCTGCTTCTGATCTGGGAGCTTGGGAAATCCTCCCAGTTCAGAAATACTGACTCCTTCCACAAAAGGCTCTAACCTTCCACCTCCACCCAGTCTGCTCCACTTTACGGTTAGATGACCTCCCTTCCTTAATGACCCAGGCTGGAAATACCTGCTAGAGATTCCAGGAAGAATGACAAACTCCTCCCAAACCCCCTGCAAGGCCGGTGAGTGTATCCTCACCTCTTACAAGAAACGCATCCCTCCCTGGACCAGGGCCCACTGCAGGAGGAGGGAAACGGGACCCGGCAGATGGGCCACAGCAGCATCCTCAACAGCATTCTCCTGAAAGGCATCCTCCTGAAAGGCACCATCCAGAACTGAACTCTGCAAAAATACACCCGACCCCAGACAGTTAGCCAAGTATCAGCCTCCCCTTTGCTCCCCTGGCACAACCTGGGGAAGGACTGCCAGCTCTTGACACCCTCCTCTCTTTGCCTTGTGGGCTTAATGAAAGACCTAGCTCTCTTTGCATCACTGAGGGAGTCCTTTCCTCAGTGCTTTTCAGCCACCCCTGACCAGGCCTAGGAGGCAAGCTCCTTTCAAGAACATCATTGTTTTAACTTGTCACCTGCACAACACAATGCTAGTCGTTGTGCTAGGTACTGTGGGGGGAATATAAATCAGATCACTTCTCAGCCTTTTGGCTAAGCTTAAGTGCAGATCTGACTTCTGTTCTCAAGGATTTTACACCCTGGAGGGAGCCTACTTATGTGCTTTAAAAAACCGTATCTGGGCATGGAACAGTAGCCCAGTGGCTCAAATTCTTGCCTTGAATGTGCCAGGATCGCATATAGGTGTGTCCACTTCGCTTCCCATTTAGCTCCCTGCTTGTGGCCTGGGAAAGCAGTCGAACATGGCCCAAATCATTGGGACCCTGTACTCACGTGGGAGACCCAGAAGATGCTCTGGGCTCCTGGCTTCAGACTGGCTCAGTTATGGCCATTGTGGCTGCTTAAGGAGTGAATCAGCGGATGGAAGGTTTTCCTCTCTATCTCTCTGTGTATATGACTTTCCAATAATAAAAAAAAATCTGTATCTTCTTAACTGCCAATTTCTAAAGTCCATCCCTGCCGGCTCCTCCCCTCTGCTGCATGCTGTTGAGTCCAGGATGTTACCTTTTCCAGTTGTGCTCCTCTTTTTCATGACCAGATTTTTAATTTGTGGATCTATGCTTGCCTTTATTTCTTCATAATGTACTTACTCCCTCTTCCATTTTACAAAATCTGCTTCTTCCTCCAACTACTCAGCTAAAACTACCTTCTTTTTTTCTTTTAAATATTTATTTGTGGGGCCTGGCACCGTGGCCTTGTGGCTAAAGTCCTTGCCTTGAATGTACTGGGATCCTATAAGGGCGCCAGTTCTAATTCTGGTGGCTCCACTTCCCATCCAGCTCCCTGCTTGTTGGGAAAGCAGTTGAGGATGGCCCAAAGCCTTGGGACCCTGCACCTGTGTGGGAGACCTGGAGGAAGTTCCTGGATCCCAGCTTTGGATTGGCATAGCACTGGCCATTGCGGTCACTTGGGGAGCGAATCATCAGACAGAAAATCTTTCTCTTTGTCTCTCCCTCTCTCTGTATATCTGACTTTGTGATAAAAATAAAATAAATCTTTAAATTAAAAAAACATTTATTCAAATTTATTGGAAAGGGAGATTTTACAGAAAGGACAAAGAGAGAGAAAGATCTTCCATCTGCTGTTTCACTCCCCAAGTAGCCACAATGGCCAGAGCTGAGCTGATCTGAAGCGAGGAACTTCTTCTGGGCTTCCATTGTGGGTGAAGAGTCCTAAGGCTTTGGGTCTCCTCGACTGATTTCCCAGGCCACCAGCAGGGAGCTGGAAGGGAATTGGGTCAGTGGGATACGAACCAGAGCACAGATGGGATCCTGGGTGTTTGCAAGGTGAGGACTTTAGGCACTAAGCTACTATTCCAGGCCCCTAAAACAACCTTTGTGGGGTTTCCCCATGATATCTGCTGTGGCTTCTTGGTATATTTTGATTGGCTATGTGAAACTTCCTCTTTTGGGGCATGCAGTGTAAACTTGGCTGTCGCTGTCCCTCCTACACTTGGCTATCTGCCTACTTCTCCAATCCATCCTTGTCCATGTCCTTGTCCCATTCCTCTTCCTTTTGCTTGCTAAAGACAGTGTCCCATGGTTGTATGCATGTCCTAGCTCAGTTGAGTTCATACTTTTATTTTTTAAACAAGATTTTATTTTATTTTTATTGGAAAGTCTGATATACAGAGTGGAGGAGAGACAGAGAGGAAGATCTTCCATCCGCTGATTCACCCTCCCAAGCGGCCACAATGGCCAGAATTGTGCCCATCCAAAGCCAGGAGCCCAGATATTTTTCTGGGTCTCCCACGTGGGTATGGGTCCCAAGTCTCTGGGCTGTCCTTGACTTTTTTTCCCAGGGAGTTGGA